ACGTGCATGCACATGTTTTCATGATAATTGCTATATATCATGTTGTAGGATATCCTAATGCATGGCTATGTTCAAAATTTTAAAGGATTTTGTCAAAAAATAAGAAAGATATTGAAACTTTAGTTTCAGCCAATCAGAGCAAAATGCACGTGCATGCACGTGAGATCTTGCTATTTTGACCATGTCATATTGTCTATGCTACTAATATATCCTTATATTATAAGTTTCAAAGCATTTCATCAAAAATTTAAAAAGTTACGCCTATATCAATTAAATCGGTCATTTCACATGTTGCACGTGCACGCTCTTGCAAGCACGTGCGCGCAAAATGACCTTCATTCCGCAAATCTACATAACATATCTACTGACCCTAAAAACATTTCACCTTGGTCGGATGTATAGTTTGCGAGATCATTCCCGGACAAAAAAGTACCCAGGAAGAAGAAGAAGAAGAAAAATAATAATAACTAGTGCTAATTGTAACGGGGACCGTTACAGATGTTCCCCAAACGCTCCCCAACTCCCTTTTGGTGCCATATTCCCTGTAAGCTTCATTAAATAAGACAAACTCGATGCATTTGAGACTTTAACAACGTTTACCCAGAAGTGTACCAAAATCATTCAAATTTTAGCATTGCACGCGTGCGCATGTGAATGCATGTGCATAATGACCATATCATCTTGTCTACACAATCTATATATTTTAATATGCTAAATATTAAAGTATTTAATCCAAAAGTATTAAAAAGATACGCTTATTCAAGTGTTTTTTTTTATTTTGCTCATTTCACATGCACGCACGTGCATACATGAGCATGGTGACCATATCGTCTTGTAGATATCCGTTACATCTATCTATGTTCTAAATCTCACCCCGTTTGGTTGAAAACCAAGGGAGTTATAGCTGTTTAAAGTTTCAGCCAATCAGATTGCAGCGCACGTACATGCACGTGCATGCATGTGCATGTTGACCATATTTTCTTGTAGTAGTCCAGTATATCTATCTATGTTCCAAATCCCATCCTGTTTGGTTGAAAATCAAGGGAGTTATAGCTATTTAAAGTTTAAGCCAATCAGATTGCAGCGCACGTGCATGCACGTGTTTTTATGATAATTGCTACATATCATGTTGTAGGATATTCTTATGCATAGCAATTTTCAAAATTTCAAAGGATTTCGTCAAAAAAGAAGAAAGATATTGAAACTTTAGTTTCAGCCAATCAGAGCAAAGCGCACGTGCATGCGCGTGAGATCTTGCTATTTTGACCATGTCATATTGTCTATGCTTCTAATATATCCTTATATTATAGGTTTCAAAGCATTTCATCAAAAATTTTAAAAGTTACGCCTATATCAATTAAATCGGTCATTTCACATGTTGCACGTGCACGCTCTTGCAAGCACGTGCGCGCAAAATGACCTTCGTTCCGCAAATCTACATAACATGTCTACTGACCCTAAAAACATTTCACCTTAGTCGGATGTATAGTTTGCGAGATCATTCCCGGACAAAAAAGTACCCAGGAAGAAGAAGAAGAAAAATAATAATAATAAGAAACAGAGTAAAAACAATATGTTCCCCAACTTCGTTTGGGGAACATAATAATAAGAAACAGAGTAAAAACAATATGTTCCCAAACTTCGTTTGGGGAACATAATAATAAGAAACAGAGTAAAAACAATATGTTCCCCAACTTCGTTTGGGGAACATAATAAAGACATTGCAGTCTAGAATTGTAATATATTGGACTAAGAGATATTCCCTAAAAAATAAATCCATGCTTGTAAGAAAAATATAGTAGTATTTTGTATAAGTGCTTGCTTGATGAAGACTCCGCCCCCCTCCGGATCACAGGTACTTGTTTAAAAGTATAACACCCTTATGTTATTATGATACATGTACTATGGGTTAAAAAAGGTTATAACAGAAGAAAAGTATCTGTGCAACTGAGCTTAAAACGGAGAAAAATCACTTTTGATCTTAATCTTATACTTTTATTTTAAGGAGGAATGCAACACCATAAGATTTCATAGATCCTTGAGACATCCATTTAAAACTATATGGTTTTACCATTAAAAGATCAATAAAAGCTATTAATGAATTATAAGGAAAATTTTTAAAAAGTGTTTTATTTGATAATAAGATGCTTTTTTTCTGTTAATAAAACATAATATGAATGCCTAATCAAATACAAAGAAAGGTTGGATAAACAATTTTATTTTATAAGTAAGATATTTAAAATCATTAAAAAAAAAAATAATTTGTGAAAATCAAACATTATTTGTAAATATATTTTTAAACCTCAGTAATCCACAAAATTGTGGATATGAATGTACAGGTACTTGACTGGTCATCACTTTGGATAAAACAATATCCATCCGTTAGAGTACAGAGATATCCTTCCTTTATTTCTTTCCACTTGTAAGGCTCATTACATGCATTTAAATTATATTTTAGAGGAACTGGGACTTGATTCTCCAAGTGGTAATCCAACCTATACCTATAGCTCCCTTTCTAAGGAGGAAATTCTTCAAAATTATATGTTTGTTTTGAATATGTTAAATATTCCCTACAATCAACATAAATTCGAATAACCTTACCTATATTGATTTTCAAAACTTCATAAAAATCCTTACAAAAAAAAGATACATAGCAGTTCCAATAAATATTCTACCAAGCCTTTTTTTTTACTCCTCGCTAAAATATTAACAGTAGTGAAGGAGAAAGTTCAGGAGTATTGTGTAACAATATACATGTACTAGTAATCGAGAAGTGGCGCAAATCAGATGTGGATACTTAAAAATTCCATGGAACTTTTTGACAATTTGAAATCACAAAATTTTACCAAAATCAACAGCAGAAAACTTTACGACTTTTCAACTTTATGTACAATTACCAGTATTCCCCACTATGAATAAAAGTATAAAGCTTTTTTATATCATTGACAATTGCTTTTCCAATAAAAAGGGGAGCTCGTAAGTTTACTCACCTGGTCAGTGGTCATTTGCAAAATCATTTTGTTTAAAAAAAACATTCTGATTGTACACACTAGCTATATATAGTACTCTTACGTTGACATAAAAAGATGCTTGAATTTCTGATTGACAATATCTATGTGGTTTTTGGAGTCCAGGTCTTCCAACAATCTATTGGAATTTTCATGGGTACCGATCGCTTCGTGTTATGAGCAGACCTATTTTTGTATTCATACGGGGCAGAATTTGTCGAAAACCTTATATGTGAAAAGAAGATACACTTGCTGTGGCCTTCATCTCGACTTTTTCGATATCCATGTATCGACGACGTATTGTAATTTTGCAATGGTAATTTGCATTATGTTGATACGATATATCACGGTGAGCTTGAAATAAATGATAACAAAGAGTCTTACACATCTTCGGATCTTTTACTTAAAAAAATTAACATTCAAGCTTTATGATTTAGAAACTTGATAACATTTCACTTTTCAATCGTCAACTTCCCTTACTTATGTAGTAATATATCTTCGTCACATGCATACAGGTGTATCTCTCAGTTAATTTGATATTCAAGATTGATTCATTGTATATTGTTAACGCCCATCTCGAGAAGTTTCCATTCATATGGAAAAGCCACCACTTACCGGTGGAGAGCTGCTTTGTCCTATACTCGGCAATCATGGCCATCGAGCAGGGAGGGGTGTTTTTCGTGCCATCACCTACTGCAACACGGGATCTCGGTTTATACGGTGAAGGATATGGAGATAAAGAACAATTTTTAATTCATAAAACAATATCCATAAAACAATACAAGAGGAGAGCAAACACAGACCTCCAAAACATCAGAGGTGAGGTCAGGTTAATGGAGGAGTGGAGTGCAATGGAGGAGTGAGCATCCCCTGCCGACCGGTCACATTCGCCGTGTGCTCCTTGTCATGATCGGGAAATAACGGAAAAATCCGTCGTCAATTCAATATATAAATAATGGTACTAACAATTAGTATGAAAAACGTCAGTCAGCATTTGACTCAATTATAAATTGTATTTGTTGACAAGGTCATTGTATCGACCATAGAACTTACGAAATGATGACTTTGAATGAGACAGCTGAAATTCTTGTTTCATCAACTTGTTTGTCAATAATTTACCTCGTTTTTAGAAATTGTTCATACGTAGAGCATGGTCTTGCGTATCGAATAAAGTGAGATATATAAACTCCGTATGCAGGTGATAAAGGTATATTGCTGCATAAGTAAGGAAAGTTGACGATAGAAAAAACAAAGTAAATGATTACCATCTTTTTCAAGTATAATATTCAAGCATGAAACAGGTCTCATCCGAAGGATCGGTGTCCACGTCCCACAGTGGGATTCGAATATGCAACATAAAGATATAAGTTAAGGTTATATAAACTCCTTACTTCGCCATTATAGAGCAGTCACTCTAACCATTGTGCCACGCGGGCTGATATGCAAGAGTATGCTTTCGTATAAACTATTTTTAAAAGAGGTATGTTATTGACAAACAAGTCAATGAAACGAGAATATCAACAGTCTCGTTTAAAGACATAATTTCGTAAGTTCTATGGTCGATACAATGACCATGCCAGCAAATAAAATTTATCATTCAATCAAAAGCTGACTGACGTTCTTCATACAAATTGTTAGTCCATTATTCACACTATAAATTGTCGATAGATTTTGCCGTTATGTCCCGATCATGAAAAGGATCACACAGCGTTTATGGCCATTTGGCAGGTGATGCTCACTCCTCCATTGCACCTGATCCCACCTCTGATATTTTGGGGGTCTGTGATTACTCTGCTCCACATTTGTATTGTTTATAGAACTGTGTGTATGTAATCATATTTCAGAACTTTTTATCTGATCGTTGTAAAAAGCGTGTATGCCTCGTGGACCCAAAATCTTATCCTTTTTTGAGAGTATATGGGTTTGTCTGTTTGTCTGACAAATCTATTATCATTTAAAAGTACTGTAGGATATAATACAGCCAACCAATCATGGCATTTATTTTCCTAAGAGTAACATTCCAGGTTCTTTATTGAAATAAAATAAACCTTAAATCTGCAATTTGTTTTTATTTCGCCGATAGAAATAAAAATTAGACTAACTTTCTAAGCTATACATGTACATACACATAATTCGAAATATAAGGATCAAAGATAAAGTAAACAATAGCTATGCATTTTGGAAATTATCTTTAAAATTTCCTCGAAATGAGAATGGATGGAAATGTTTTATGCTGCAGGGTGATTTCATCTATTACACAACTGGACGGAGGTTATGTCCCTTGATACTGTCATGGTACATCAGAAAGACGCCGACATTTTATTATCTGTCACCTGCATCAAACTCAAAGCAGCCGAATGTTCGCGAGACTTCATTCTCAATGCCACGAGACTTTCATCAATGGAGCATCTTTCAGCACTTGAAACTGCAAAGTAAAAGGATTGTTTATAGAGGAGAGAGAAGTTTTTCATTACCATGCAGATAGTCCCAAAACTACACGACTACACATACATCATTAAATGTACAGTTGAACCTGTTTAGTATACTCAGTATTCTAACTTCTTACATTCCCATTTTCAACCCTGTTTGAAACTCTTTTAAGCTGACAAAAACTGCGCTGGTATGATTATATCTAGTAACTGCATATTAGCATCATTTATTCTTGTCATATTATAATATATCCACCTTGCGCCGGCCCCTTCTACTTTGTGTAAATTTAACATGGGCAATACATTTTGATTTAAAGATCACCAGAGAGTTCAGTCCTTTTGTTAAAGAAGCATACATATAAAAACTGAATGACACTGGCATTGTTACATTTATAATTGTCATTCATTTTAAGTTTGATTCCTATCTTTATACTCTACCCCCAAATATCAACTTACCGGAAGCTATATGAGCACTATATGGATGGAGGGTTGATTTGGTGACGTCACTGAACCCATGAGGATTGAAATGATTGGAAGATGACTGATAGGCGAGAGCTGACACTGATGACGTCACGGGTGAACACCAGTTACTTGAAAGTGAATCGTTTGGATTTGGTATACCATGCATCTGTAAAATGAAACGATGTTTCAAGCATTGCTGGCAGATTATATGGCAGTAGATATTTATGTCAAACAAGTAAATGACCAATCAACTTCTACTTTTTCATTATATGAAATGATAAAGGAAAGGTATGCTTAAAACCTGTGAAGCGTGCGATAAATAATTCTCCATAAGTCCAGCATATGCACTGTCATTGTTTTTCATGGAGGTGATATTTTGGAGGTGATGAGTCATGGTGTTCCGATGCCAGATGGTGTCTGAAAATTAATATGGTTAATACCCTATAACTTTTGGATCTTCTAATAGACAAAAAATTTGTTAAATTTGCTTTTTCTCTACTTTTTTTTAAAAGACCATAACAATTAACTTTATTTTTAGAATTGAATGTACCTGATACAGAGGGTAGAGTGTAACTTGGGGCAGATTCGTGAAGAAGGTAGGATGAGGCGCCCCCTTGCGGCATATGTAGAAGGCTGTTCAGAGTGGAAATCTGGTTACTTCCCATTTGTTTCCGCCATCGTGCTCTTCTGTTACTGAACCAGACCTGGACCCGGGCCTCTGTCAGTTTTGTCCTCTGTGCTAGTTCCTCTCGCGTATATATATCCGGGTAGTGAGTTCTCTCAAAAGCACGTTCTAATTCCTCTAATTGTTCCGCAGTGAAAGTAGTGCGGCTCCGTCTTTGTTTTCTTTTAACGGACAGTCCTGGCTCAGAGTCGCAATCAGATTCTGAAAAAAGTTATTATTAATACAACTGTAATACATGTAGCCATTTGAAGCATTAGAAAAACTTTAAAGAATTATTTGGTCACAGTACATCTGATCTAAAATGACAGGTAAAATATCGAATGCTGTCGGAAAGTATTCATTTAGGGTGCGTTACAAAACATTAAAAAATTTATTCACATACATTTTGTCTATCAATAATTATGTAATAAATCTAGTAATTGATATATAGTTTGATACATTTTTTTTATCTATAATGGTAAAGTCAGATAAACAGTTGTGTCCACACGCTGAGACTGAAAGCTTGATTCTTACGCTAATGTCAAACGATTTCGTTAACCAACAGTTAATCCATAAATGATCAGTTTTGATTATTTCTTTTGTGGATTCTTTACAAGTCTGTTGACTCTGGGCTGGGTTACTGGGGACAATCTAGAGAACAGCGCAGGATTAAAGCAATCGCGCGGAAGATGTTTGAAAATTCGCAGCAGGCAGCGTCTCGGGCGACATAAAGAGAAATTCTTTCTCCATTGGTTGCTTATTTGATAGGGTGTTCAGACGGAAATTTCATGTATAATTGTACATTATTGCATCGAAAAATTCATTTTATTTCTATTTTACATTTTACAATGTGCTTGGTAAACAAAAATTAAATTATGGATATTTTAGATTTGCGCGAATCATGTTGAAAATTAGCAGGGGTCACGAATGGAAAGCATAGAGACCTTTTCTAATTTCCTCAAACGAAATAATGCACAAACAATCAGTATCAGGGCATGCCTCAGATATATAAGACTGTAATATTCCTGATCTCCCCAGGGCGCTTCAATCTTTTTTAGACTTTAATTCTTGTCTTCGTATTTTTCAAATCTGGAAATAACTTTCATTTTCCCATAAAAAGTCATCATTTGGAACCCTATCGGGAGAGATCATTGATGTGATACCAACCACGCCGTTAAGGTCGCGTTCGGGTTCCCTCGGGTCATATTAACAACTGTCATAAAACACTTAAGAAAATGATATCCTCTGCTTTCCAGGTGTGTTCAATAACAGAAATTTAGAGATGAAAAATCATTAATCTTCAAAATTGAAATTGCAAGCTTTGTGCATTTTGTTAGGGAATTATTCACCCATATTAGTGAATTTTCCACATCAATGTTATAAACAGCGTGAAAATTTTATGTCTTTTTTCTGAAGTTTAGAAAATAAATGATGTATTTCTAATCTATCCGTTGCTTTAATAAACCATAAAGACATTTGGGGTCATAGATTGCAGATGAAAATGGCCGAAGCATGATTTCAATTTTCTGCGTGCTTTGTTTAAGGTATTTGATAGAAACTAGCTTTAGCAATAACATGCAGGGGCAGATGTATCTTAAAGCTTTGTGATGAACTACGATCCTTCATTGTAAATAAAATTGAAATAAGAACATAGTCTACATTATCATGTACTAATTTTAATTTTAAAAATATTTTATTCAGCTAAAATTTGCAATATTTTTCAAATTAATTCTAGTTTTCTTTGACCAGTAAATCTTGTTATTCATATAGGAAAACATTACTCATATTCATGAATTTCGGATTAATATTTTGAATCTCAAGTTTTAGATGTATATATTCCATAATTGTTTTCATCATCCATGAACCTGCATTAATATCTATAAAATTTTTTATTTATTTCGCAGACTTAATATTTACTGTCCATGATTGAAAAATGTAATGTTCATATGTAGGCCTAATATTCGATAATCTTGAGATCTTATTTGACAATCTTATAATTTGTATGCATGGTTTGATATTCTGTTCTAGAACTTATTATCTCTGTGGATAAAACTTGCGATTTATATACGATAATCTCACGATTTATGTTTAATATTCATACGAAAAGCTGATAATATTTTAGAACTTGCTGTTTATTTTATTATTTTAAATACTTGCTATTTATTTTTGTTGCAATTATTATTGAGGTGGGTGGATGGAATAGTGTGGAAAGAAACGAAAGAGTGTTTTTTCTGTAATTTAATAATCAAATTGGAGACGAATTTAATTATTTAGTGGAATGTAATGTATAATGTTATATATGTTATAATTTGATGACAGATACTGATCCTATATTCTTCAGAAAACTTCGAATTTTTTATTACCAAAATTTTAACCCTTTAATTTCTGCTCGTCCATAATTATTGTAAATATGTATATACATGTATGTACCTCTTGTACCATTCATATGGTTTCTGAGAGAATATATGAATGAAGAAATTATTAATTTATTGTATTTTCTTATTTATATACGTCACTTCGATAAAATATTACTTGATATGCTTATTAACAGTTTGATATTCATATTTTAAAACCTATATTTCATAATTGATAATCTCTTGATTTATAATCGCATATTAAAATCTGGAATATCGCAAATAAAATACTTGCTAACAAGTTCACAAATATAATTCAAAGTTTTAATTTAAAAAAAAAGCACTCAAGAATATTGCATCTTGTGTATTATTATCAAGTTATCAAGCACGTGCACATGTTTATCAATTTTTCGAATGCAAGCCACAATTTAATAAAGTGCCCCGCCACAGCATGATACGCCCGTCAAATATATTGTTCAATAATCATATATTGGTAACGGTGCAAAAAAAAATCAGATAACCTTGATTAACAGATTGACACAGATTTCATTGATCTAATTTCAATTTCTTATCATGTTTAAAATATTGTACATATATACATCTCTAAGAGACTTACAGTGTAGGGATTAATTATAACAAATAATACATCATATAATTCTAAACTGGCTGTGTTAGAACTTAACATATATCCATCTGCAGCTTTAAATTGTTAATTGCATATTTTATGGAATAATGGAAATGCTACAGTCTAACAAAAAAATCAAAAATATATTATTCTTTAGATTATAAAATTCTAAGTGAGACATGACTAAAAATTTGTTGCAAATATATAAAAATTGAAATGTAATTTTTTTCAATGAACACATGTATAATTAGTTTTTTAATTATATTATACAATACTAATTTATTTTTAATCATACACTAAAACATCAATTTGTTTTAATTACATTACACCAATTGAAAGATCTTTATCTGGGCTATAGCCATCAAGAACTCTTAATTAACACAAGCAACTATGAGGCCATTTCTTTTTGCCCAACTCCCAAGAGATAAATTAGACAACCAGTTAGCTCCTGACAATACTCATCATTAATTTCTCTCTAATTTGACATGCAATTTCTGCTATCAAAATTTTTCTTGACCAGTGCTTGATAATTATGCCCATGGGACAAACTGAATTCCTCTCAAAACATTAACATTTGCTACAGTTTGCTGTAAAAGTATATTATAATGATGAAAAAAAAAGTTTTTACTTAATTTAACATTTTTTAATAAGGCTTCGTTTTAATTATATTATGCAATATTTATTAATTTAGTTTTTATTATACACTGTATTTTAAAGCATCAATTTGTTTCAATTACATTACACCAATTGAAAGATCTTTTTCTGAACTAGCCATCAAAAACTCTTAATTAACCCAAGCAACTGTGAGGCCATTTCTTTTTGCCCAACTCCCAAGAGATTAAAGATAAAGATAACAGCTGCATTATAAGAGATCTGCACTACCAGTTAACTCCTGACAATAAACTCATTAATTTCTCTCTAATTTGACATGCGAATTTCTGCTATCAAAATTCTTCTTGACCAGTGCTTGATAATTATGCCCATGGGACAAACTGAATTCCTCTCAAAACATAAACATTTGTTACAGATTGCTGTAAAGTATATAATGAAAAAAATAAGTTTTTACTTGATTTAACATTTTTAGATAAGGATACAACTATATTTTTACATTTTTTAGGATTATGAAATTTAAAATTTTAAAGACTGAGTTTTTTTTCAAAAATTCACTTAAATTAAAGGTCACAGTGACCTTGAAATAGGCCGCGACACACCTTCTACCTAAGATGTAAAATTTTGCCAAGTTTGAAAGCTCTAGGTCTAATAGTTTTCTAGTTATGAGCCGGACAGGATTTTTCCATATTTGGTCATAGCATCTTTATTAAAGGTCACAGCGACCTACTTTTTGTGCGCGACACACCGTCTACCCAAGAAGTATCAACTTTCAAAGTTTGATAATCCTAGGTCTAATAGTATTCAAGTTATGAGCCGGACACGAATGGACAGACGGACGGACGGACGGACGGACGGACGGACATGAAGCCTATAACATAATACGTCCCGTCTTAAGACGGGCGTATAAAAATTTGAATAACAATTTTTGAATATAAATCTTAAAAGTTTTTTGAATGTTGAAAAAAAAATTTTGCTCATAAATCATTAATGAATCAAATACATTTATTATTTACGATTTGTATGGTAATACAACTCTTTACATGCAGTAACGAAATCATATGCATATATACCTGTATAATCTATGCGTAATAGTATAAATAGCAAAACCGACGTAATGAAAGTTTCATCAACGGTGATGGGGCAATACAGTGTAGTTTGATCTGCTTCTTTCCAATAAATTTAAATATTTGTTATTACTTAGTTTTTACATCTAAAAGAAGAGAGGGCTAAATAAATTCTATTTTTAGTTGCTTTAATAACCATATTAAATAAAATTTAATTTTCTTTTAAGATCATCCGTTAAAATTTTAATTTTGGTTCAAAGACCTTCAAAATCATGGGGATCCGGACGTTTTCTTTTGACTCGATCAGCATCAACTTTGTTTGACCACACCAAACGACTGAATCATTTCCGGTCGCCTGCAAGTCTGTAAATCAATTTCTAATTCACCGCACACGGTTTTGTTTCAGTCTTAGTAAAATAAACAATGTTTTCCCATTCTTTGTTTGATGACGTCGCTGTTAAGATGGAAAGCCCAATATTACCTTGAACATCTGTAGTCATATTATATATACTTTTTCACTGATAATTATAATTTAATCATTTAAATTACATTTGAAGTCTTTATTTT